AACATGGTGAAACTACGGAGCGGATGGTCCTTATTCGAACCCTTAACAATGAGTTCTGAACTTAGGTTGTTTTTGGAAACTTTTATGGCTCCCCACCGATGTGGTGCTGTCTGTCGGAGATGGATGATAAATTCGGAGGTCCTGTCTCTTTAAAATATCCTTATAGTGTTGAGAGGGTTTTAAAAACCTATACACTGATCTTACAACGAGGCAGCCAAGGTTCACGGAGTTTTAAACTGTATACCCACCAACACTCTAGTGCCCGTTGGGAAATAACAGGGCCCTCAGAAGACGTGAGTTCAATTTCAGCATGGGGAAGCTAGTGTATACAGTATCTTTGTCTGTCTGCTGGGAAGCTGGACTCCACTCAGGCTGGGTTGGCGTTACAAGCATAGCCGAAGCAGCCCGTCTCCCAAGAGACTGATGCAGATTGTGTTCATCTTGGAAGCATTTGAACCCAAACGTTTGTTTAAAGCTAATACAATCTGCGTAAAGTTACACCATGATTTTCTATTATTCTTAAATTGAGTTACGAACCTCTCTCTGATGAAAAAAATAATATTGATTCTTTTTTATAAGGCCTTCTTAATACATTAATACCGTGACAAAAGTATATCCCATTCTCACCCACCGTGTGTGAGCACTTGGCCAAGGCTGCGTTGTTCTTGTTGTACACGTGTTGTTAGCGTCCAGGTGGAGTTGTTATTGTGTACAAATATATTTCCATCGTGACCTAGCATGAGATTTCTGATGACGTGGCACTCGGCCAGATGTTCTAAATGCGCGATTGGTTTCGATCAAGGCTGCTTGCAGTGCGCTCGGCGTTAACTTTAGTAAACGTGTTGAGTTATACAATGTACTCACTTGGTCGCGGACAGCAAGTGGACGCTAATTCTTGTTTGAGGCAAATGAAGCAGACAAAGGCCTCAGACGTAATCTTAACTCTTTGATGTCGTAGGGGACACATAGATTCTATGTCCGACTTGCAGCAGTGACAGAGTTGAAACATATTTCGAACCACCATACACAATTAATCAGAAAAAACAAATTAGCATTTTTCTTAGTATTCTTTTTTTTGCCTGCCATTTAAAGTTTCAGTTGAAGAAAACAGTTGTTTAGAAAAGGAAGTTGTGCTCCTTTTTAAAGTGCCCCAAAGCATTCTGTCCTCAATTAGTTGTAGAATGACCATAATTGCGCGTCGTCAGAGTTAAAATGTAACGTCCGAAAGACTCGTACAAATCTGGTGATCTCTGTGGTCACCCGGCTTGTTTCTTTTCTGCATACCACACGTGGGTCTGAAGGTACTGCTTCATTGTTTTCTCTTACCTGAATATTGCGGACAAAAACGCGCGCGAAAACATACATACACACAAACAAACAAACAAACACACTCACACACACATGGCGCAAACACACAAACACACACA